CCCTAACTATTACAACTTTGGCATTCAAGTGCCTTTCAAATGATCAAAATTGAACTAAAAATAATTATACAAGCTAAAGCCAACAAAGCGAATAAATAACTAAATGAAATAAATAAATAATAAAACATTTAAAAGGCATGCAATTAAACACGTAAAATCACATAAGGCACGTAGGGTCAAATAAAGTAAGAAATAAGGAATAGGGTGTACCTCCCTTGAGTTGGGGCCCTAATGGAGTGAAATCACTTATTTACCCTCCAAAATAATAAAAGGGTCAAGGCATCACTTTAATCAATAAATAATCACATAACATGGGAGTAGGCATGAAATTGAATCAGTTAAGGGCACTTAAAGGGAGGCAAACAACTCATGTTTAAGAAATTTAAACAAATCAAGACCCAATTAAAAAGTTTCAAGAGTCTAAAATGAAATGTTAAAATTAATGCCTTAAGATGGGACCTATCAAAGTCACATGCTCAAACTTTCACAAAAGATCAATAGAAACCTATTTGTTAAAATTAAACATCAGAATTACCCAAAATTTTATTAAAAATACAAACCAAAACTAAAAACCTATCACAAAATTCATCCTAAAATCATAAATAATCTGTCCAAGGTTCATGTTAAGACATACCAAAGCAAATTAACATTTTGAAGGGACAAAATTGATTAACTTTTTCCAATTTTTAGGCCATAGCGAAATTAGGCAAAACTTAAGGGATTAAAGTGCAACTTTTTTTTTAAAACATGCATGCAGATTACCTAGAAGAGCCTTTCTTTTCTGTACCAATTCAGCCGCAATCTTCTTTCCATTTCATCATGCAAGCAAGTTCAGCAAGTACCAAGGTTTCAACTACTTGTTGCAGGATTGAAGCAAAGCATTTGAGTTGACCCAACAGCAAGAGAAAGGGAAGAAATGCAGCAAGAAACACAAGAGGTTTCATGTATCAAGAAGACACCACAAACATCAGCAGCTCTACGATGCAACGAAATGTAAAAACATAGCAGAGGCACAAAGAGATAAACTCGCGGTGAACATGCACACAATATACAAACCAAAAACCTAAGAAATCATAAGCTTCAAACAAGCCCAAACTTGAACAAGCCAAAGAAAGAAACAGAATCCATTTGTCCACACTGCTGCAACAAGCTGAGAGCTTTAAGCTTGTTGCAGCAGATTTTTATGCGCAACTCTAAGTGCAAAACTATTCTAAGACCAGGTAAACAAGCTCCTCAAACATTCTTCTTAGTTTTCAACATAAAATTCTTAGGCTGAAACACAAAATTCAGAAAGAAAGAGTGTGCAAAACTGGAAATAAAATTTATGCGACTTTCGGATGGCTTTGAAATGTTTGTTGAACCTCATGCTGCAATAGCTAATAACACTCTTAAAAAAAAAGTCCTCAAATTCTTGTTAAACTTCCTAAACCCATTATCAAATACAATACCAAGCACACAAAAGAAAGAAAATCTGAACTAGGGAAAAACTTGCAAACCCAGATTTGTTCATTAGTTTCAAATTTCTGGTTTTCATGTTAAAATCACACGAACACCGAGTTTCTAAGCCAAAACAACAAACAAACTCCACATCTTGTACTTTGCCCTCCTTAGAATTCTTCAGACCCAAATTACACACACAAACAAGAACCAAAAATGAAACCTTTAGTACATTAGATTACATATGTGGGAAAACATTATCTACTCATGGCTCCTAAACTGAATTCATGGTTTCAGATGCACGTTAAATGAACAAAGAGGCTAACACCAAGCCTGTCAACGGCACAACAATATCACCAAGCATAACCATAGTCATAGTCATCAGGCATGGGTAACGACCAAAACTTAGAAAAGGAAGAAAATCATGCATAGGAGACTCAAGTCCCTGTGAAAATTGTGTTAAACTAACATTGAGAAGAGTCCATTATACCTGAGAGCACTTAGGCTGCTAAACGGATAGGAGAGACCCAAAGAAATCGAACGGTTCTGGAAATTGAAATCCACGAACTGGGTTGCAAGAGATTCCAGCGCTGATGCAGGCGATGCCAACCGAAGATCCCTCCTTTTTCTTTTCTGGTTTCCAGCCGAAGCCCTCCTTCCTTTTCTTCCCTCTCTTGGTTCCCTCCTCAAACTCACAGCCGAAACTTTCTTTTTCCAGCTCCCTCTTTCCTGAACTTTCTCTCGATCCCCTTTTCTCTATCTCACGGTGGTTCTTACCCAAACCTAGCCGTCACCTTTTGCTCTCTCCTTTTTCTCCCCTTTTCTTTTCCACCGTCACCCCAATCTATCACTCTCTATCTTTCAGCCGTCATCTTGGATTCTACCTCTGACCTCTTCTCCCTCTAAACCCTTAGCTCCCTTTTTATATCAGACTCCAACCCTAAAAACCTCATCTCAATGGTTCATAAATAGCTTCAGGTCACCGTTTCTCTCTCAGCCATCGGATTGGCCTCAATTTCTAAATTGTTTTTTTTTTTTGGCTTGTCGATGAAAGCCAGGTATAACAGTACTAACATGATCGAAGGGAGCTAATTGCGACTTTGTTTTCTGCTAATATGATATCAAGGAGAACCAGCGAGCGTGCCTAGCACGCGCGCGTGAGTCTCTTTTTTTTTTTTTGAACTAAGATTCAATTAAATTAAGTGAACAAACATCATTAATTTATAATCGAAGCTAAATTGCAACAAAATCCATAATTGAATCTAAAAATTAAAAATATATATATTTTTTTTTTGTGTGAACAATTTTCTTTTTTCGACAAAATCTAATAAAATTAAGAGACTAATGAGCAAAAATCATTTATTCTATAAAAATAAGAATAATAAATAAAGTGAAATAATAAAATTAAAAAAATTAAAATAAAAATAAGAATAAAAATAAAAAAATGTCTAAACAAAACTATTAGTTTAAAAAAAGCAAAACTAGATAATTATCAATAAAAATTAAAATAAATAATAAATAAAGCTAAATTAAAATTTGGTGTCTACAGCTTGCCCCTCTTTGTCTGAGTTTCGAAGAAACTCAAGACAACTATTAGTTTAAAAAAAGCAAAACTAGATAATTATCAATAAAAATTAAAATAAATAATAAATAAAGCTAAATTAAAATTTGGTGTCTACAGCTTGCCCCTCTTTGTCTGAGTTTCGAAGAAACTCAAGACAAAGACATAGATACCAAATACTTACCTACAGTTATTCCGCCGTGAGTTGGAATATGTAAACTCAAAAAGGTCAGTGGGATGAATACCCGAGCATGCCTTCACTTTTCATTTGGTCAGGGGGATGAATACCTGAACCTGCTTTCATTTTTCATTTGGTCAGTGGGATAAATACCCGAGCCTACCTTCATTTGGTCAATGGGACGAATACCCGAACCTGCCCTCATTTTTTATTTAGTCAGTCGGATGAATACCCGAGCCTGCCTTCACTTGGTCAGTGGGATGAATACCGAGCCTGTTTTCACCTGGTCAGTGAGATGAGTACCCGAGCCTGCCTTCATTTTTCATTTGGTCAGTTCGTACAAAACTTTTGCAGAATTTTGAGAAGGGACACAAACAACTTCCTCTAAAATTGCCCCAGTGTCATGCTTATTGGACTATCGGACCTGCAAGAAAAAAAACAATGATAGATAATACCGCTTCCATCCGATCAACCCCTTTTCAAGAGAAGTGTAAACATGAGCATTTGGACTCCTAATTTGGCGAAGCAGGTACTTCAATCTTGCCCTGCGAGCAATATCAAGTTTTCATAATTTCTCATATGTAGACCAATGTGTCATCTAGTATCTACTCTCTTCGATAAATCATAGGGATTGCCATTTGACAGAACGAAAAAGACAAATGTGACCATGCAACACATGAAAAACATTCTAATTGCACATAATGATGAAAAATCTTAACAAACACAACCCTTTACTTTTATTGCATGAAAAATCATTTCAAATAAATAAGCTTGTATACTCAAATTTTGTGTTTGATAAACCAAACACTTTGGTTTTCGAACAAAATGCTACGCTTGACCCTTTGGATATCATCTCTTCGGAGTTCAAATGCTTGACAACAGAACCACAATGTGAGGAGAATTTTCAATGAACTAAGTCACCAGCACTTTAGATCCATGCTCACTTTTCCTTGTAAAACCCTACCTCAGCGCCCTTTCGGGTTTTCACTAAGGTTACCCCCGCCCCTTTTGTTTTGTTGTTGTTTTTTTTGTGTTTTTTGTTTGTTGTTTTTTCTTCACCTTTCCTTTCCTTTTCCCTTTTTATTTTTATTTTTTTTCCTCTTCTTTTTCCTAAGGTGCCCTTGCAGGTTTTCACCTAACAAACAAATCTTGTCTATCACCCATATTAATCTAGAAATGTGTTTTAAGAAATAATGACATCTAAAAAACAATCCTTCCCTTGCAAAAAAGATGAAGATGTTTTTGACATCATGTGCCACTTGATTAGAAATTTTCCTAAAAAGGCAATATAAAGAACAGAAGTCAGGACTTTTAGGTTTTTCCAATGGGGTCTGGTGGGGTGCTTAGAAAGGGTTAAGGCTTGAAAACGGACTTATGAATGTTTAGATTTCCTGAGATCGCATCTTTAAATTAACCCTACTAATAATTGTCCCAGTTTATTCTCAACTGAAGCTCTTTTCTCTTTCATTTTCTTCTCTCTCTTTTCTTTTTTTTCCCTTTCCGCCTTCTGCCATTCTTTTGAAATTTTCAAAATTTGCCCCAGTTTATGCTTAACCGAGATTCTCTTTTCTTTCATTTTTCTTTATCACTTTTACCTTTTTGAAACCCCTTCCCTCTTTCTTAACTTTTTCAATTCAAAACTTGCCCCAGTGTGGGGTTTGCGATTCTCAGTGGTTGCCAAACGAAATGATTTGCTCTGAAGGCTCAAAAAGGGATAACTAGGGATAGCATACTTGATTGGAAAGGAAGAAGGCCTGACTTTTCATTCCATTCTTTACATTGATCTTAAAAGGAAAATTCCATGTATCATATGAAAAACTTCTTTTACATGTCCGAATTGATCGGTTGAGGGAACACTTGCCCATCCATTTCTACAAGAATGAGCACTCCTCCGGGCAAAACTTTCTGGACAATAAAAGGGCCTTGCCAATTTGGTGCAAATTTTCCCTTAGCTTCCTCTTGTACTGGCAAAATGCGTTTCAACACTTTATCTCCTTCTGTGAATATCCGTGGTTTGACCCTCTTATTGTAAGCACGGGCTACCCTCTTTTGATAACATTGGCCATGACAAATGGCATTTAACCTTTTCTCATCGATTAAAGACAACTGCTCATGACGTTGTTGAATCCACTCAGCCTCCTCCAGTTTGGCCTCCATTAAAATGCGTAAAGAAGGGATTTTGACTTCGGCTGGCAAAACTGCTTCCATTCCGTACATGAGATTGTAGGGAGTTGCCCCAGTAGAAGTCCGAATAGTAGTTCTATATGCCATTAATGTGAGGCCCCAATCAGTTCGTAAGTTGATATTAGGGTTATTCATTATTCGGAGTGGTGAAATTAGGGTTAGGGCTAAGGAAGAAACCCTAATCTCGGTTAAGATTGAAAACCCTAGTTTATGTATTAGTTTGAAATGGTTAGCAAACTCTAGATTAGCAAACCTCTAGTGTTACAATTTATTAGAAAGCTTAAGTGGAGTTTTATTTATCGCCCGCCTTTTTCTACATTTTCTTTATTAGAAAATTCCCCAGATAATTTTTATTGAGTAAATATAGTTTTTAGATGATTTTTCTAGTATCGGTTAGTTTTTGAGAAATTAAGAACGTATATCGGACGTGGGACCCACTAATGCGGTAAGTTCGGAAAAATTCGGCCAGTTAGGTTAAGTTTTGGATACTGGGTTTAATTTACCGGGTGTTATGAGATAATTAAAGGTTGTTATATGGATGAGAGTGGAGAGAGACAAAAGGATATGTATGTATTAAATAGGGTGACAAGTGTCACCATATGATTAAACCTTACAATTTTGACTACTATTTACCTTTTTACTAATTGACCAAAAAAACCAACAAATTACCAAATCATCTTCATTTTTAGCTCCTTATAGCCGGCCACTTTCCAAGGAGAAAGAAGAAAAACCTCTTCACTTTCTTAACTTCAATCTTGCTCAATCTTCGATTTCAACCAATTAAATTCGAAAACTCTCCATAAAAATCCTTCTCTTAGTAGTTGTGAGGTGACTAGTGAAGTTGTTTGGAAGCTTAAGGTGCTAAGTGGTCTCTCTTCTTTGGTTCTAAGGTGAGTGACTATGGAACCCCTCTCTTCTATCTAAAGATGCTTAATTAATGACTTGTGGTTGTTACAAGTGTGATTTGGTGGACTATTTCTTGATTTTAGTTAAGATTGATGAAGTTTTCTATTTATTTGGGATTTTTGCTGTTTGCATATGATTAATATTATGTGGCTATGTATGATGATTGGAAATGATTGAGAATGAAGCTAGTTGGTGTGAATGGTAGTTAATTGCAGCAAATTTCTGGTTTGGAAGATAAATTAGCAAGTTAGGGTTTCATTGTTCTTCATTCTGTCTGGTTCTGTAGCACATAGTTAGAGGCCGATTTGGCCTTAGGTTAAAACATGAAAGTTGTATAGAATGATATTTTAGAGGTTCCTACAAAATTTCAGGTCGATCGGAGTAGCGTAGCTTGTGAAAAGATGGAATTACCCTTGCTGTCCTGTTTCTACCCGAACCTGAGAACTGCGATTGTAATTGGTTATTTTGGTTTGGAATGCTTCAGAATTGGTTGTTTAGGTCATCTGATGAAATGTAACCCTGTTTCTAATCTTTTGGATGGCTTTGGAATTTCTGGATTTGGACTTATGTAGGCTGTTTTATGATGTTTGTACTAGAATACGGTTTGTGAACCTGTTTTACGATTCTGGTGTAGTATGTGACATTTTTGACATAGTTACACTCGAAATTGGACTGAGTGGCCTTCTTCAACATTGTAGACCCTTAAGTCTTGAATATGCCTGTAAAATTTCAGGTGAAACGGATTAGTATATCCTGAGTTATAGACAAAACACTCAGGCCTGTTTTAGACATTAGTTTGTGCTACGTTTTGAAATCAGCCTCTGACCATGCATTTTTCTGTTTTGATCCCGTACGATCTGGGTTTTGACTCCTTCATAATAAATATAGATCTTGGTTTTGGCTTCGAAACGGTATAAAGTACGTCGAAATCCGAGTTCCGTAGCTCCTGTTATGACCAAAACAAGATCGATCGTCAAAACTGCCTTGTATCTGGACAGTTCTGATGGGTACTTTGACACTCAACTTTCGTTCTGTTCTGAGTGGATTCAGGTCTTGGCCAAAACATCAAAGGTTTAGCCTTATGTCTCAGCTTTCTAATGCCTTTGGAATTTCCTGATTTGGATTTGTGAGCTGGGAGTTATGGTCCAGCAAACATACCCTTTTCGTTACTCTAGAGTGCGAATTCCTGGAATGGTTTTCTGTACTTTCGACCTATTTCTGTTTAGATCCGGAGTTAGGTATCTTCATGAAAATTGTAACCCTTCCTCTTAGCTTCGCAACGGTACCTCATGTACCTTGATCCGACACTCGTAGCCTCAATTAGACTCAAAACAGTTTTGACGGCAAAGCGATTAGGTTATCATTTCCGATTTCCGTATGCCGTTTCCGCATTCGTATGTGCCGATTTTGCCGTTTTGCTTGTTTTAAGTATGTTAGTAGCCGTTTATGATATTATGTGACGCAATCTTCTATTTCAGACGGTGGTGAGCTAGGTGGAGCCGGTGGGGCCTACTAGCTACTCTTTGCGGCACAAATTTCGAATTTTTGCTCTTTTGTTCGTTGTGTAAGTATTCAGGCCGCCCTTACGTGTTAATTGCTTATGTGTTTCAATATGTATGAAAAGAGTACCTAGGCGAGAGTGTACTTTATCGCACTCGACCTAAACCCTAATTTGCGCACATATTTGTACATGACATATATATACGAATCATTTTGGAACTAAACCCCTTGAGCTTGTGGCTCGGGGTGACTTTTGAGTAAAGTTTGTGAAATTTGTGAGTTTGGGGCCCGATCTCATGACCTAGATGGACTATTCGAGCCGGTTAGGGCTTGGGCGAAGTCAGTCCAACCTGGTTTGAGGTCACCAAGTTTGTGAATCCGGTTCACCGATTATGTGGACCAAGTTTGTGACCCGAGCTTGTGAACCAAGCTCAATTTCGTTCGCTCGAGCAAGTTTGTGAGGTGTTTGGCCAGAGAGGGTGATAAGGTGTACGGTGGGAGTACTGTGAGAACCCGTAAAACCCTAATTATTTTCCTAGGGTTTATTTCCTCTTAATTGCATGTTTTCTGCATTTTCTGGCTTAGAAATATTTTCTTAGTGGATTTTATGAGCAATTATAGTTTTAAGATGATTTTTCTAGCATTGGTGAAATTTTAGAAAATTAAGAGTAAATAGTGGACGTGGGACCCACTAGTGCGAAAAGTTCGGAAAAATTCGGCCAATAAGGTTAAGTTTCGGATACTGTGTGAAATTTATCGGGTGTTAAGAGATAAGTAGAATGTGTGAAGTGATTGATGTGAGAGGGAAAAAGAAAGATAAGAATGCATTAATGAGTGTGACAAGTGTCACAATATGATTGGGTGGACTTTAAGAAATACTATTCACATTTTTGACTTTTTTGACCCAAGGATTAAATATCAAAAAAATGCCCAAAATTCACCATTTTTCTCTTCCTTGTGGCCGGCTCTCTCCTTGCAAAGAAGAAGGAAATTCCACCAACTTTCAAGCTTCCATAAGCTTCAATCTTCCATAAACAAAAGCTTAGACTAGATTTCACTCCATAAAATCCTATCTTCAAGTGCTAGTAAGGGTTGTAGTGAAGTTTGTTTGAAGAGCTAAGTGTCCAACACCTCTCTACATCTCTTGTTTCTTGGTAAGTTATGCTTGAACACCCTACTACATCTAATGATGGTATTATTATGCTTAGAAGTGGCTTGAGTGTTGGAATATGTGATTTATCTCTTGATTTGGCTTGTTTTGGTGAAGTTTTTATTTTATTGGGAATTTTTCTGGTTTAGTATGAAATGAATGTTGTGGCCATCTTTGATGATTGGCAATGGACTATAATGGCTCTAGTAGGTATGTTTGATAAGTATTTGCAATCAATTTTGGATTTGGATGGAAAAATGGAAAATTAGGGTTCATAAAACCCCAATTCTGTCCGGTTTTAGATCATAGGGTTAGAGGCCGAATTAGACTTTGCTCAAAACATGAAAGTTGTAGGTATTGATGTGTTTGAGGTGCCTGTAAAATTTCAGGTCATTTGGATTAGTGTAGAGTGAGATATGACGAAATTACTGTAGCTGTTCTGCTTTGGTCAGAATGAGAAAACTGCGATAGTAATTGGCCATTTTGACTGGAATTGGTTTGGATTTTAGAGTTGGTCTCTTCTGATGAAATGTAGCTGGATGTCTTAGCTAACTTATGCCTTTGGAATTTTGGCATTTGGACTTGTATGGACTGAGATATACCGATTACAGTTTTCTGTGTTTTGCAAACCTGTTTTGGTGATTCTGGTATAGTATTTTGCATATTTGACCTAGTTGTGTTAGGAACTGTGTAGACACCAAATTTTGGTGTAATTTCATTTACTATTTATTTTTTTTAGTTTGTGCTTGTTTTATTCACTTTTCAGTTTTAGTTTTTTATGTTGTTATTGTTTTTTAAGTTTTTAGCATAGAATTTCTCGAAATGAAAAGAAAAAAATGAAAAGTTGAAAAATGAAAAAAAAGGGAAAAAGAAGAAAAGGAAAAAAGGAAAATCTTAGCTTTTTATTTTATCTGTTGGTTATTTTTGTACATTTTTATTTAAGTTTAAGTTGGTTTGAATTATTATTATTTTTATTGTGATTTAAATTAAGTGTTAAAAAAAAAAACGGTGCTAGTCACGGCAAGCTGCAATTTTTGCAGCTTGCAAAGGAGGACCTGTGCAGCCCTTAGCTGCACATATGATGGAATGTTTGAGGGTTTAGGGTTGTGGTATCTATAAAAGGGAAGAGAAAACAAGCAGCCGCAAGGCAAGGGATTGGGGGGAGCAACGGCAAAAAGAAAAAACAGTGCAGGAAGGAGAGAAAGCTAAAGAAAGAAAAAGGCCGAGAGAGGTTAAGGAAAGAGTTTTGGCAACGGCGAGAGGTTCTGGGACGGCAAAGGAAAAGAACAAAAGAAAAACTGAGAAGAGCAAGAAAGGGGTCGGCTGTGAAAGAACAGAAACCAGGGGAGAATAAAAAGAGTAAAATCAGGTTTGACGGCAAAAGGCGGAGAGAGTTGGTGAGCTAAAGATATGAGGAAAACAGGCTGAGGAAAGACAAAGGTTACGGGGAAGGCTACGAGGTTTCTGAGGAGAAAAATTCTGAGTTTGGTCACAGGGGTTTGAGAGGGTTTGACGGAAGAAAAAGAGAGAT